GTGTGTGTGTGTGTGTGTGTGTGTGTGTGTGTGTGTGTGTGTGTGTGTGTAATCCCAAAGTATCTTATGTATCCTGGAATTACAAAAGTTTATATTTATAGATGTGTTCCCTTTTGTAGAATGTTGGCAGTAAAAAGTGTTTTCAAAAAAAAAAAATACAACATGGTATCTACAAAAATTTAAGACTGTTATCTACAGATATATGTTATAGGATTTATTCATCTTGTAACACATTTAAATATTTATGATTAATAGTGTCTTTTGTTTTGTAGCAGATGACATTCACTTTGATGAGATTTTGTTTTAACATTTTTATATGTGCAGTATTTCATTTCTTTTCACAGATTAGTCGGGAAAGCTAATCACTACATTATTCCCGTAAACTGAGCATTATGGTACACACCTTTAATCCTAATACTTGGGAGGCAGTGCAGACAGAACTCGCTCAGTTCAAAGACAAGTGGATACCTACAAGTTAGAGGAGAGCCTAGTCTACATGCCAAGTTCCAGGCTAGCCAGGGCTACATAGTGAGACCCTGCCTAAATCAATTCCTATAAGAAAGCACATTTTTTTTTTCATTCCAAATTTTAGTTAGCAGTCACTGGAAACCCTAAGACAGAAGACATCCACATGTATTCTCCAAGGATTTGGCCAAACAGCATATCACCAGTGCCATAGTAAAATGTTAATAAAATGTTTTGAGTAACATTTTACTGTTCTGCTTTAACTATTTATTCAGTCTTCAATATAGTCGTTCTTTCTTAATCAATGGCCTCATGTAAAAATGGCCCCTCTTCTATTTTCGCTTTTTCTTGGTCATTTTTTTAATGCCTTATTAGGGATTTTTATGTATGGTATGGCCTAAAAATTTACAAGTCATAAAGATTTATCTCACATCTAGCTATAATTTGAAGAATGTTTACAGTCAGTATTTTACCTCTGAACTAGCACTGATATGCAGAGAAAAAAAGGGAGGATAAAACCATCCCCCAAATCTCAGTTTTTAGAGAACTGAGGAAATAAAAGCCATCAGACTAACCAAGGTCATTTTTAACTTTGTACTTTTAAAGTAGTCCGTTGACTGTGGGGCATTTTGTCGGATGTAGAACTAGCATTTTAATTGCACTTCTAAACTGCAGTGTACTTTCTCTGATGAATTAAATAAATGTTCTTTAGCAAGTTGATGTTTGAATCTTTGAGGTTTGTACAGGGGATTGCAAATATATTTAGATCTTTTTTCATTCTTCTCACACTCCTTGAATTTGCAAAGTCAAAAGAGACCAAGTTTCTGTCCTTGGCTTCCTGCTGAAAGCTCCAGCACTGAGTCTGTTAATGACTATCCCTAGTAAGAGGAGCAGAAACCTCTGTGAGAACATTCCTTCCTAGAAAGAGTTGGGTTTGCCCTTTCCCAAGATCTAGGTTTCTGTGAAAATTCTTTCAGACTCTTCTTGACCAGAATCTGTTCTTTTCGTTTTATTCCACGTTCATGTTAGTGAACGTTTTAGCTTCTCTCTGGAGGGAAACCTTGGGATTGCTGCTATATTGACAAATGTTAATTTCTAAGGATAAGGTTTTGTTTTCTTTCTTTAAAAGCATTTACTTTAAAAGATGTGCAATAAATTCCTATTCTGACAAGTTCTTTGAATGATGAACAACTGCAAAGAAGACCCACTGAAATTATCTCCCTGACTTTTTTTAATTTTTTTTATGTACATTGATGTTTTGTCTACATGTGTAATAGGGTCGGGTCCCCTGGAACAGGAGTTATAGACAGTTCTGAGCTGCCATGTGGATTCTGGGGATTGAACCCGGGTCCTTTGGAAGAGCAGACAGTGCTCTTAACTGCTGAGCCATCTCTCCAGCCCCCACCCTGATTTTTAAGAGGAAAAGAAATATTGTTTTTTGAAACAATAAACAGAAAGCCATTAACTGTAGCAAATCATGATGAGTATTGATTGGATTATCTCTTTTGCTTTTTAGCTCTATGACAAAATTAACACAAAGTCTTCACCACAAATCAGGAATCCTCCAAGCGATGCAGTACAGAGAGCCAAAGAGGTAAGTGACATATTTTTCTGAAAGTACTTATTAGCATTGTCACATCTGCTACCTTTATTTACTGAAGACATTTGTGCATGTTAAGAGGCACACTCTTTAGGATCACAGTTTGACTCATACCCAGGGTATTATTGCTAAGTTTATCATTGTACATCCATGCAGCAAAGAAACAGCAACAGTAGTTCTCAGATTTCTCATTCTGGTTCTGCTGTGTGAGTGAACATATTAATACAGTCTCTATTTTTAATGTTATTTTACTGCACCTGGTAGAAAGAGACATGCTTTAAAAAATCTGAGTTGCTATTTTTAATTTGGTTCTATGTGGAAGTTAATTGGGTTTTTTTTAAATAATTAAATGTACCAAGCTCAAAGAAGTCATTTTTGTGTATAATCAATGTATAAAAGTATTTACCACAAACCTTTTCATACTTACCTATTATAGAAGCATGGCATTGCAGAGATATTGGAAAATAAAATTCACCCAGAATCCCAGCATCTTAATAAAATGGTTTCCATTTTTGTGTCTTTTTCATTGTTCATTTGCATATAGAATTTGATGTATAGTATTTGGGTGTAGTAGTGTGTAATAAGCATTTTATGCCTTTATTTGGCTTTATAAGTATAGCACATGCCTGTATAATTTTTTCCTACCACTGGAATGATTTAGAAATTACCCCTTTAGTAAATACTTTATTTTATTTCACTGTTTAATCTTCTAAAGTTTTTTGTGCAATCATTTCCTTTAAAAAAATATTTCATATAAGTTGTGATTACTAAATGAAAGAGTATTGGAGACATAATGCCTTTTCTAGCAGATTTTGTTTTGTTAAGACAAGATCTCACCATATAGCCCATTATTGGGATGACAGGTTGAAACACTCCATTCACCTTCCTAGCAGATGTTAAACATGAGTTTTGCTAAAATATATATTATATTGTATATGGTTATATACTCACTAAGAAATTAGACTGTGCTGGCTGCCAGGCCCCTGCTCTCTTGCTGAGGCTAGGATAAGAAAAATCTTAGTTTGCCCAGCAAGTATTCTTTGAAAAGAATTTTACCATCAGGCAGGAATCACGAGTCACTGCCCAATCTTGACAAATCCCAAATAGACAGCCGCAGAAACACTCTGGGGACTGTCCTTTGACCTAACTATATAGTTGAAGAATTTCCCCTAGCTTAGGAGATAACACGTCTGTACTTAAGATCACAGGCCATGAAAGTAGCTAGGCAAAGAGAGAGTTTGTGCTTTCCCATTGTTGTTTCCTAGAAGAGAAGCTGAAAATACACCAAAGAGAACTACTTTAATCTCAATAAGCAATATGAATTAACTGCATAACCAGCAGTTATTAACAGGGTATTTGAATAAGAAACACTGCCAAGGGTGGAGAGGTGTTTGTTTGTTTGTTTGTTTGTTTGTTTGTTTGTTTGTTTTGGAGTTCGATTTCTTCATTCCACCTATGTGTTTCGTTTGTCCTCTGTGATTAGGTAGCAGAGCACCCTCTGTGGTGTGGTAGGATGCTGAAATCTGAGACTCAGGCAGAGGGGGACCCTTTCTGAAGTTCTTGAAGGTTGATGTAGGAGAGTCCTAGAGAGGCTGGGTGCCCCTTACATGAGTGGTGCTGAGGCAATCCTAGATGGGCTGGCTCCATGCTTAGAGTTAAGTTGAGTGCAGTATAGAGGTCTCTATGGACCCGTCCACCTGCAGTTAGAGCAGTAACAGGTGCCTACTCAAAAAGACAGAGAGGCCCTGCTGTGGGCTGGGAGCCCCAGGTTAAAGTTAACAGATCAACTCCATTCCTGGGTGAAAAGGAGAAGTTCTGAAGAACAGTTTACTTGCAAGCAGCAATTTCAGCAACTCAAAAGAAATGTTAATGCCTAATTGGTGAGGAAAGTTTGAGTGCAGAAGAAAAGTGGCAGAAGGGGTTTAAGTATTTTAATTTGGTCTGGGTTCTCTGGAATTTCATCAAAGCCTTTGGTAGAAGCATGGTTTTCTCTATGTTGGAAGAAAAGCATCGAAAGAGCATTACTCCAACCAGGCCGCAAGGAAAATTACTTAAGCGTACTCTTAATTAATTATGCTAGTTAATTAGCATTCTTTTGTATGTTGTTTTCATTGAACCTATGCCATCTTTTTTAAGGAACTAGTAGTGCTATTATATTGTAAATGACAAGTATTAACTTTTAGTACAAATTGATTTGGGGAGCAAATTTGTAAGACTTTTGTATTAAGCTAAGTAGCTTAATATAATAAATATGTTACAAACTTCTTATTTAGTTTGTAGTATTTTGTTACTTTTGTATCATCAGAGCTGGGTAATGAAGGCAAACTATTACTGCATTTGTTTCATTTTATTTCTATCCATATCATTCTTATATTTTAATAACCTTTGAACTCAACAAATGTTTTGAAAGTAATCGCCTTTTCTGCTACAGAAACACTCGTGATTTTTAATTTAAAGGAGTTCCATGCTTTGTAAAGCTCATCTCATTTTGTACTAGTATGTATCTTATTTTTTTTTCTAGGTATTGGAAGAAATTTCATGTTACCCTGAGAATAATGACGCAAAGGAACTAAAGCGTATTTTAACACAACCTCATTTCATGGTAAGTACTACATCACTAGACATAAAACACAGTTTCACAAGAAGTTTTCAATAACCTGCATAAAATATTGCTCATGTCATCAAATGTATTTTTATCCTTATACAGTCATGTCACCTACTGGCTGGGATGCATTTTGAGGTATATGTCATTAGGCAATCTGTCACTGTAAGCACATCATAGTGTCCTTACAAGAGCCTACATGGTATATGCTACTAGTGTAGACCAGGCTCCATGGTGTATAAACATGTATACGGCATATTCCTGGGAAGCACCTCCATTCATGATGAGCAAAACCACATGAAATTTAACAAGCAGTAGAGAAATGGTGAAATCGAGAGCCACCATAAACACAAGCCTGTGCCAGGATAGCACAACATACATCTTTATAGGGAAATGTGTTATTTCTTTGTTTTCATTTTGTTTTTTAAGTTTTGGCTTTGATTTATTTTTGACGTAGGAGCTCACTAGCAGCCCAGACTAGCCTCAAATTCAGAATTCTCCTGCCTTGGCCTCCTAAGTACTAAGATTATAAACATGTATCACCATGATAAACTTTTCCTAAGTAGAAGGAACACACTGTAAAGGAATAAACAAAAAGTATAACACAGTAAATCCCTCTGCCAGTAACAGTCTAATGGTCCATAGATAACTACACTATGCTTTCATCTGGCTGGCTGTGTGGTAGGTTTGTTTACACGAGCACCACCATCACAGACATGCAACTAGGCACTGTGCCACAAAGTTGCTAAGCCCTAGGAATTTGTTGGCTTCAACATACCCTGTTTATATAGTGTGTCATTGACTAAAATGTCACTCTGTTATTCATGACTACAGCATCTGACTAAGATTATAATCCAAGGTAATAGCAGATATTTTGATTTTTATTACTGGTGTTGACCCTCGTATCACAGTTGTAAAAGTGCCGCTTGTGAAGTGTCTCTTCAAGGACTACGTAGACCTGAAATAAGGATCTGCTTCTTTATAGTTTTTCCATCACTCACTGGAACCCTATGCTACCTAAACCACAAAGAACTAAAGTTGAGGGCATTTCTTTTTTAATAATAATTAAAAAAAAACTGGCTTCAGTTTTTGCATTATATTTATTTAGTGGGGCACATGTGCCACAATGCACACAGGGAGGTCAAAGAACAAGATGAAGGAGCCTTCCTTTCGCCATGTGGTTTCAGGGACTAAATTCAAGGTATCCTTGTTTTAGACAGTATAGAATTCGTGCACTTTTTCATTGGTTTTTCAAAAAAAAAAAAAAAAAGGAAATAATGCTTATATTTAGCCAGTTATTAGAAACTTGAAACTTTTTTGTGGAAAAAAACGTCCACTGCTGCTATCTATCTACTATGTACTTCTCTGCAATTCAAAAGAAAAACTGCAGGGGTTGACAAGATGGCTCTGGCTCTGTGGCTGAGACTGTCTGCTGCTCTTCCAAAGGGCCCACGGTCGGTTATCAGCACCCCTGTCAGGTGGTTCATACCTGCTGTAACTCTAGTCAAAGGGGGATCCAACATCTTCAGCCCCCAAAGTCAGATACTCACAGGTATATAGACACAGACACATAAGAAAAACAAGACATCATTTTTCATAAGAAAAAAAAAAGCACAATTACAGGTGGAAATCTATGCTAAATATAACATTTTTTTTAAACAGTCACAGCTGTAGATACAGAATATATGCAAAGAGTTGAAAATCTAACTACCTTCCCTCTAGGTGAAAAATAACACTTTAAAACCTTGTTGTTCTGGTGACAACTGTTTCTTTTAAATGCTAGTTTGCAAAATAATAGTTACAATCAAACATATGTATGTATCGTATGGGTAGCTGTGAGGTTTTTTTTAAGTGCCTACTATTTCACTCTTCATGAAATATTTCTCAAACTTTAACATTGTCCTTCTAAGAAACCATTTGAAAGAAGCAATTTTCTATTTCCCCTCCTTAATTTTGCTAACTTTTTTTAATGACCAAACTCAAGCACATCTCTGGGAATGTTTAATTCCATTTTATCTGGTGGTAGTGAATTAGAAATACAATTCTGTGTCTGGGTGAGCACTCTTTTATTTTCTCATTCAACTTTAGGAGAATTTATTGTAATCTTGTAAACCAATTTCTGCTCATTAATTAAAGTTTTTTTCACTTATAAAATAGATTTTTTTCAATCTTTTAATTTAAGTCTTCATTGAGAAGTCAACCATAATCTAATAAGTCTGTTTTTATGTGTTTTGGTCTTTTTACTGTGCAGCTATTAATATACTTTGTTCTGTATGTTTAGCATTTTAACTATTATAAAGCAAGAGGACTTTCTTTTCTGGCCCAATGTATTTGGTATTGTGTAAGCTTCTTGTACCTTCATAGGCATATGATTCTTTAGATTAGAAAAATTTCTGTAACCTTACTGAAAATATTTTCTGGGTCTTTGAGCTGGTATTCTCCTTCCTCTCTTTCTATTATTCTTAGGTGTGGTCTTTTTATAGTGTCTCAGATTTCCTGCTTTGTGTCAGGAGTTTTTCAAATTTGACATGCATATTCATTTCTTCTATGGTATCTTCAAGCTAGGATTCTCTGTACTATCTCAGTCTATTCATGAAGCTTACCTCTGTACTTCCTGTTCACATTCCCAAATATTTCATCTCCAGAATTTCTTCTGTTTGTTTGTTTGTTTCTTTGTTGCCTCTATTTCATTTTCAGGTCTTGAACAGTTTTATTTTTTATTTTTTCTTTCAACTACTTTTTTGTTTGTTGTTTGGGCTTTTTAAAAAAGGAATTTATTTATTTTCTCCAACTGTTTGTATTTTCCTGAATTACTTTTTTTAATTAATTTTTTACATTAATTACATTTTATTCACTTTGTATCCCAGCTGTAGCCTCTTCCTCACTCCCTCCCAATCTCACCCTCCCTCCCTCATCTCCTCCCTGCCCCTCTCTAAGTCCACTGACAGGGGAGATCCTCCTCCCCTTCCATCTCACCCTAGCTTAACAGGTCTCATCAGGACTGGCTGCATTGTCCTCCTCTGTGGCCTGGCAAGGCTGCTCCTCCCTCTGGGCAGGGGGTCAAAGAGCCAGCCACTGAGTTCACGTCAAAGACAGTCCATGTTCCCCTTACTAGAGAACACACTTGGACACTGAGCTGTCATGGGCTGTGTCCAAGGAGGGGTTTTAGGTTATATCCTTGCATGGTCCTTGGTTGGAGAATCAGTCTCAGAAAAGTCCCCTCTGCCTAGATATTTTGATTCTGTTGCTCTCCTTGTGGAGCTCCTGTCCTCTCCAGGTATTACTAACTCTCCCATCTTTCATATGGTTCCCTGCACTCTGCCCGAGGTTTGGTTATGAGTCTCAGCATCTGCTTTGATACACTGTTAGGAAGAGTCTTTCAGAGGCCCTCTGTGGTAGGCTCCTGTCCTGTATCTTGTTTTTTCCTTCTTCCAATGTCCATCCCATTTGTTTTTTCTAAGTGAGGATTGATCATCTTACTCCGGGTCCTCCTTCTTGCTTAGCTTCTTTAGGTGTACAGATTTTAGTATGTTTATCCTATCTTATAGGTCTAGTATCCACTTATAAGTGAGTATATACCATGTGTGTCTTTCTGCTTCTGGGATACCTTACTCAGGATGATCTTTTCTAGATTCCACCATTTGCCTACAAATTTCATGATTTCCTTGTTTTTCATTGCTGAGTAGTATTCCATTGCATAAATGTACCACAATTTCTGTATCCATTCCTCCAATGAGGGACATCTGGGTTGTTTCCAGATTCTGGTTATTATGAATAAAGCTGCTATGACCATGGTTGAACAAATGTCCTTGTTGTGTACTGGAGCATATTTTGGATATATGCCTAAGAGTGATATAGCTGGATCCCAAGGAAGCGCTATGCCTAATTGTCTGAGAAAGCGCCAGATTGATTTCCAAAGTGGTTGTACAAGTTTACATTCCCACCAGCACTGGAGGAGGGTTCCCCTTTCTCCACATCCTCTCCAGCATGTGTTGTCACTTGAGTTTTTTAGCTTAGCCATTCTGATGGGTGTAAGGTAAAATCTCAGGGTCATTTTGCTTTGCATTTCCCTGATGCCTAAGGACATTGAGCAGTTCTTTAAGTGTTTCTCTGCCATTCTATATTCCTCTACAGAGAATTCTGTTTAGCTCTGTACCCTATTTTTAAATTGGATTGCTTGATTTATTGCTTTTTAGCTTCTTTAGTTCTTTATATATTCTGGATATCAGCCCTCTGTCAGATATACAATTGGTGAAGATCCTTTCTCAGTCTGTAGGCTGTCATTTTGTTCTGATGACAGTGTCCTTTGCTTTACAGAAGCTTTTCAGTTTCATGAGGTCCCATTCATTGATTGTTGCTCTTAGAGCCTGTGCTGTTGGTGTTCTGTTCAGAAAGTTGTCTCCTGTGCCAATCAGTTCTAGGCTCTTCCCCACTTTTTCTTCTATGGGTGAGCACTCTTTTACAGCTGAGATGTGTCAATGCCAAACTCAGTTTGAATCCCACCTTTGTTGTTAAAGTCATTTCTAATTACTCTAAATCATATTAACTTTCTCTTTTTCACTTTCTATTCCCATGTGTGGTATTCTAATACAAGCTGGCCTGCTGAAAAAGTCCCTTTCCTTGAGAATGGGCCTGGGCAGTCTCTTTTGTCTACCCTAGTCTCAGTTTAGGTTCTTGAGCTTGTGATCTCATTTAATTGCTGTTGCAGGAAAATAAAAAAGACTCAGTGCCCTATCAGTATCCTCAAGTTTGAACAATCAAAACTAACAGGAGTTAATTGTCCTTGATATCATCTTGTTCACTGATATTGCATATGTGGGGGCCGTGTTTCTCCAGATTATAATTCATTTCTCTTCAGATATCATGTCTTCTATGGGATAAGTGCGCCTGAATTCAGGCAAGCCTCAGGTTAAACTCCAGCCTTACTGCTGTGAAATAACCATGAACCTGAGCCTGTGTACTGTGCTTCACCTGTTTTGTCGTGACATAGCTTAATGCCT